TTTTTTTTTATTGATTTGAGGGAGAGACACAGAGAGAAAGAGGAAGACAACAATTTGTTGTTTCACTTATTTATGCATTGATTGCTTCTTGTATGTGCCTTGACTGGGTATCAAACTCCCAGCCTTGGTGTATTAGGATAATCCTCTAACCAACTGAGTCACTCAGCCAGGGCCTCACACGTCAAAGTTTTAAAAAGGAAAAGGACAGTATGTTATGGAGCAAGGGTACTCAGGAATGGACATCTCATGCATTGCTGCTGAGTATTCATTCATTGGTAAATTTTTTGGTGTAAAGTTTTACAGCCTGAAGGAAAAGCTTTCCAGATGATTATATTTTTGGCCTTTTTATTCCACTTTAGAAATTTAAGCATTTGGGAAATATGCTTAATATTTTATTATAGTAAATTGGAAAAACAGGATAGGGAAAGTACAATGCTTTAAAATACATGTATACTCAGGAAAAGATGGAGAAAATTACTAAGATATTTTAATCATAATTATGGGTAGTTGAAAATGGGTGACAAAATTTTTCATACTTGCTTCATTTCCTAAGTGTTCTAAAATAAGTAGGTATTTTATAATCTAAAAATAATTTGTTCAAAAACAAAAGTAGCAAGTCTGAATAATTCTCTATTAAGGAAGAGAGTGATGGATACTTAGTTATTCAGGAATAATAAACACCTAAATTTTTGGAGATAAAAAAATGAATCAACTTGAGTTTGCCCCATAGACTGGAAATGTTGAAGAACCAAGATCCTGTCCCAGTTCCCCTAATACTGGGATGGTGGTAGTGGTAGTGATGCTGTCAGCTGCCCCAGGGTTCCCGTGTAGGCTCTTGAGCTACCTGTCCGTTTGATTCAGAAGGTCAGTATCTAAACAAAGGACCCTGTAAATATATTCTGTATAATTGTGATAATGATGGATGTTATTCAGGAATCTTTATCCAGTTCCTCAGCTCTGGAGAAAGTGTGGCTCTTCTGTAGTCACAGCCTGGATATTAGCAATTATTCTCTGTAGAAACAACCTCAGGAGAATTGGACCACTGAGAAATATATGCTTTCCTCCAAAAGCATGCTTATTCCTTTTCTATATTTAGTTCTTTTTTAAAAGATTTTATTTATCTTTAGAGGGGAAGGGAAGGAGAGAGGGAGAGAAATATCAATGTATGGTTGCCTCTCGTGTGTTCCCTGCTGGGAACTGGTCTACAACCCAGGCATGTACCCTGACTGGGAATTGAATAGCGCTCCTCTGGTTCACAGGCCCGCGCTCAATTCACTGAGCTACACCATCCAGGGCTATAGTTAGTTCTTATTCATACTTTTCATACTTTCCTGGCCCTGTCATTTCCCATGTGTTACAGAATTTGTTCCATTCCCTGTATTTTTGCACTGTTCATTTGCTGTTAAAATTGTAAGGTAAACACCAAGATCAGTATCTTAAACAGAGCCCCTAAAATAGCTTTTATCACCACATAAGAGATACCAACCACTCTAAATATAGAAGATACAGCAGATGAATCAGGGAGTCAGAAATATAAAGTATCTTCCTAATTGAATTTGTTTGCTAGGATGTTCATTCTGGCATTAATAGAGACTAGGGAACTACCTTACTTGTGTTTCTTTTTCAGGAATATTATCACAGCAGTTGCCGTAACTGCTTTTCATGGGAAGGTGGTGTTTTACATTTTCTGCTTTCTGCTTTACTTTAGCACATCTTTCCTAGTCTTACAAGTATTCTTATACACACACACACACACACGATATATAACTTTTTTTTAAATTCACATGAATAAAAAAGTTTATAAGGCAGTTCGTGGTCACTCAAAATGACTTTGAAAACCATCAGGAAATAAAAATTCCCCTCTCATTGTGGTTTTAATTTGCATTTCTCTGCAGATTAGTGATGTTTAGCTTCTTATGTTAGCCATTTGTATGTGTATTCAGGTCCTCTGCCCATTTTTAAATTGGATTGTTTGTCTACTCCCATTCAGTAAGTTGTCTTGTCATTTCGTTGATGGTTTCCTTTGCAGAAACTGATTGGATAAAAAGAGTTGGTACATATATACAATGATATATTACTTGACCATAAAAAAAGAATGAAATCTTACCATTTGCAACATGGATGGACTTAGAGGGTATTGTGCTAAGTGAAATAAGTTGGAAAGAGGAAGGCAAATACCATATGATTTCACTTATATATGGAATCTAAAAACAAAAGAACAAACAAAACAAACTCATAGATAGAACAAACTTGGTTGCCAAATTGGAGGGTAGTTTGGGGGCTGGGTGAAAATGGGGAAGGGATTAAGAAGTACAAACTGGTAGTTACAAAATCATCATGGGGTGTAAAGTACAGCATAGGGAATACAGTTAATAAGTGTGTAATCACTAGGTGTGGCGCCAGGTGAGTACTAGATTTACTGGGGGAATTGCTCTGTAAATTATATGATTGTGCTGTATAGCTGAAACTAATATAAAATAATATTGAATATCAACTGTAATTGAAAAATAAAAAAATTAAAAGTTTTTTCCCTTAATCATAAGGAAAAGGAAATAGCATTAAAATTTACAATTTTATCAGCTTTATATATCAGAAAACGAAGATACTTTCATTTCACCAACAAAGAAGAAAAAGTGGTTTCCAGGGTCTGTGGTTTTCGGTCTTACAGATATTCTGTATTTGCTTTTTAATGATTTTGTAGTCATTAACATAACAAACCAGTATTAAAATAACTGATGTTTTTGATTGATTGCAAGCTGTACACTGTTTTCTTTTGATAAATAAAAATACGTATTGGTACAGAGAAGCATGCTTGTATTACCGATTTCGTCCACAGATAGAACCTGTTCTCCATGTGGCAGGTGGGGTTCACAAAAGTATTCTGTGGATTCCCAGCACCAAGATTAACTTGTGCAGTGGAGACTGCATTCTCCCCATGGTCCTGGCCTACGAAAAATACACTGAGTTTGTCATGGGTTATATGGCCTAATCCCTTTCTAGTCCTTAAAGAAACAAAAACTCATCTTGCCACTTAGCGGTTACTTATTTTCCCATTACTAAAGTTCATTTGCTATGCTCTTATCCTGCTTAATTTCTCTGAACCTTAACTTCCCCACTGCACCATAAGTCTGCTGTTCTGTATGATTTCTTAAGGTCTCTGTCCATAACTGCATGCTTTCCCTGTGAACAATGTGCATGTGAACAATGAATACAAAAAAGCAATGTAACAGGAAAAGGAAGGATCTGAAATATCAACTCTTAAATAATCAAGACTGACCAACTCCATTTCAGTGACTGCTGCTTTTTTTGGTTATTCCAGGGACTTAAGGTTGTGGTAGTTACATGAGTGAATGTAAAATATCTTCATGGAGTTCTAGCTATAAAGGCTGTACATATTTGTTGGAGTGTAATTTATTCATAGTACTATAGAATATTCTACATGCCCACCAAGTACTGATATCTTAATTCTGGCCTAAATAAATAGAATGCGTTTAGGTATGAATGTTGCTAACCAGCCTTCTTGTTGCAGACAAAACTTACCTGGGGCCCCTACTTATGGTTCTACATGCTTCGTGCTGCCACCTCAACCCTCTCAGGTATTACTTTTCTATTTGAATATCCTATAACTACTGTAATGTGCTCCAGGAGCTTTGCCAAATGGGGTGTTTCAGAAACGAAGGAGAAACTATAGGGAATTAATCACCCTCAAGGTAGTTATTATTGAAAGGTATTAATCTAACTTGTACTTCACTTTAAAACATTTTTCAGCTTTGGGTTATGTGGGGTTTTTTTTAAGGACTGAAAATGGCTATATTAATTTAGATACAATTTTCATATTCATGAATCTTATCTGTTAGCACCTATTCTGTTGTCCTGTGAAACTTTTTGAAACTTTTCTGTTAGAAACTATTTTGTTATTTTTCATTTGGTTTTGTGCTGATATTGTTCTCATCCTCTGCTTATTCTAAATCCTGTAGTTATCATTCATTTATTGCATTAATATTTTATTTCTTAAATTGAGATACTGCTCAGTTATAGTTGAAGGAAATGAATGATCATCTTATGACTTAATCATGGTGACTTTAAGTATAGGCTTTAAATCATAAAGCTTTCCCCTTCTTTCCATTTTAACTCCCTCATAGCTTCTATTCTGCTTTTTTGTTGTTGTTGTTCTTTTTTTTAAAATTTATTTAATCTTTAGAAGGGAAGGAAAGGAGAGAAGGAGAGAAATATCAATGTATAGTTGCTTCTGGTGCATCTGTTGCTGGGAGCTGGCCCCTGCTGGGAATTGGCCTGCAACTCAGGCATGTGCCCTGACGGGGAATTGAACCGCGATCGTCCGGTTTGCAGACCCGCACTCAGTCCACTGAGCTATGCTAGCCAGGGCTTCTATTCTGCTTTTTATTAGATCTAATTTTGAGTAGTCATTCATTTAACAAACATTAACTGAGCACTTAGTATATACTAGAGAATCTGGTTAAAGGAAAAGAATATGAGCTTTACCTTCAGACCTGGGTTGAATTTTGGATTCACTTTGTCAGCTTGTCAAGTTCTTCAACCTGAGTCTAACCATTCACAGTGCCTGGCATGTGGCGAGTTTTCAGTGAATGTTTGGCGCAAGCCATTCCTCTCCTCAAGCCCAGGGGCATCCCAGCTCTCTGATGTGTATACGTTTTTTGTATAAGTACTCCACACTAATCGATTGTGTCACCGAAGCTCTGGTGTCTGTACATTTTTTAAAGAAGAAATAAACATATAACAAATAGTTATAATACCTGGTGGTAAGTATTTTACTGGGAATGTCATTGGAAGCCTGTAAGGAGCCATAAATGCTTCTTGGGAAAGTCAAGGAATTATATACAAAAGAGATGGCCTGAATGTTCTTAATCTCCCTGAGGGCAGGAACTATAACTTCAGTATTTCTGCAGTGCCTTGCATGTAGAAAATGCACAAGAAATATTTATGGAATTGTGTAAGCCATTTAACTTTTGTATCTTCAGTGTGTGACTTTCTTGGAGAGAAGATTGCGTCTGTTTTGGGCATCAGCACCCCAAAATACCAGTATGCCATTGATGAGTATTACCGGATGAAGAAGGAGGTATGTTTCCTTCTTACATTTTCTTGATTCAGTTTGGTTTGCTGTGGACTTGATGAGTTGTGTCATGAACACATGTATCCCCTAGGTGGCCAAACGACAACTCCCTTACACCAGGCATTTCATTTCAGAGGCATTCACTTCTTTATCAAGTTAGCATACATTTTAGAATTTTTAATGCCGAAATTTCCCTGGGATCTATTTGTAAAACTAAACTGGACTTCACTGTGCTAGCTACTTTAGTGTGAGGTGTCTTATATTTGTTATTAATCTTCACACACCTCTCTCTGGATTATTCCAATTTTATGATAAGGAAACAAAACACAGTCTCTGTACTTAGAACACATAGACTGGATGAAGAACTGGAGTGGGTTTAATGCACAGAAGGTTACAAGAACTAGAAATGTGTAAGTGCCAGTTGCCAGGGCAACAAGATGTGAGGCAGTTCTGTTTGTAGTGAAGTCTTAGTGTGGGGGTGAAAGTAGTTTATTCTTGAACTATGAGAAAGCCTTAGCACTTAAGAGTGTGGGCTCAAGAACCAGAGTCTGAATTCAAATTCTGGCTCTGCCATTCCTAACTTTGTCATCTTGGGCGAGATACTTAACCTCCACAGGCCTCTGTTTACTCAGTTGACTTCATAATGAGGAAAGTTGTGGCCTCCATGCTCAAGGTTGCTTGAAGGATTAAATGAGTTAATATGTAAAATAAAACAGCACCTAGTATACATTGGTGAATGTGAAATCAATATGAGTATCTTTTATTATTCTCTTTCAAGCACTTGAGGGCAATTTAGGTAAACCTAGAAAGGAGTGAAAATATATTGTATGTTTGGGGACATGGCAAGACTATTACTCTATTGTCACTGATGCACAGAGTACAACAGGGAAGTGGCTGTAGATAAATCTGGAAAGCTCAGCTGACTTTATATTTATATGGTTTCAAAAATGTTTGATGAATGAGTGTTTTTTAACACAACCAGCCTTGTTTAGAAAGCTCATTATCTCATCAGGAGTAAAGAAGTGGCCTCCCTAAGTGGTCTTTCTCATTCACTCTCGACTAAGCTCTAGATTAATCTTCCCAACAGGTTAGTAATTCTGCATCATCTACTCTCACTGCAGAGTCCAATACACATGCCACCTCCTCCATGAGTTTAGTAGTTCTGGAACTAGAAGGTACTCTTCCCAAATCTCTGGAGTCCTTATTCCTTTCTGTCTTAATGCTGTTTTTACATCTTAACTTCTTAGATTGTAAACTTTTGAGGACAGAGACTGCCTTATCTGTATCCAGGTGCTTGCTTATAGGGACATAGACTATGCTATATCATTTAGTGAATAGACCACCCTGTTACCATGAATAGGCTGATCCCTATAATTGAAGTGATATAGTATTAGCTAATTTTTTAGGTTAAATTAATCTGAAAAGATATTGCTCCTGTCAAAATTAGTTCAGTTCTCATCTAAGCTAAGCAGTGCTGTACTGTGTTTTAAAACCAGTTTAATACCACGTTTCTTAAAATGTCATACAATAGTTTTCATTTAAATTTGTGAAAAAGGAAGTATATCTTAATTAGTCCAAAGTGAATTGGACATGATACTGTTTTGGTTAAAACACACACCCACACACACACATTATAAAGGACTGGGAGAACAAATACTATTTCATTTGGACACTTACATTTCAGTGATTCTTGATGTTGCCTCTTTTTAGGAGGAGGAGGAGGAGGAAGAAAACAGGATGTCTGAAGAAGCAGAAAGACAATACCAACAGAAGAAGATGCAGGCTGATTCCACTGTTCAGACAGATCAGCCAGAAACAGTGGTATCCAATTCATTTGTGAATCTCAATTTTGAAATGGAGGGAGATTGTGAAGTAATTGCAGAAAGCAAACAAAATCCAGTCTCTGTCCCACCATAGAATGCAGTGACTTTCAAACTTCGAACCCTAAGGTGGTTTTCTTATCAGGAACTTTGACATTATTCAGTAATACTTAATATAGTTATTTATACTTTAAATTATTACCTGGAAAGGGGATAATGTTTCTTTATCCTTCGGCTTTGTCTAGCAAAAGTCAGATCTGAAATTTGGATGTTTGTACTGTGCTTTTACTGTGTGTCTAATTAGTGTTTTGGTTTTAAAACGATATTTATAAAAAAGTAAAGGACATTTCAGACCCCTAACTGCAATTAAGAAGAGTTAAATTATCATGATTGTCTGTTACTTGTATTTGTGAAAAAAAATTGGTAAGTTGCTGATTAAGGCTAATTGAAGCTGATGTTCCTAATTTCAGAGGATTTTTTTCCCCTAGATCTTTTCATTGTTATTCTTACATTTATATATCTAGCCACCAATTTCATACTAAGGATGATTCACTGAGTTTGTAATAAAAGGAGCAAGATAAAAGCACTTAGAATTTTATTTTCTTGAATATCTTTATTTTATGGAAAGATGATTGAGTTTTTAACACCAAATCTTAAAATAGGTTCCTTTTTTTTATGTAGGTTATTTAAACTTTTTAGTAGTTATTAAATAAGTATCTTTGAACATAATGTTAAAATACTAAGTTATTGAATGAATTTATTAATGTATTTGTTTTCAAGTGGCAATACCTAATGATTATCCACATGGCGTCCCGGTTATGTCACTCATTGAGCCCTTAGTGCCTCCTATGGGCCAGGTACTTACAGGGAGGGGCTGGGATTGGGAGGCAGATGAAGAGTTAACCCATCAGGGGCTCAGTTAAATACTGTACAAGGTGCAGTGGTAACATAATGAAGGTAGTTGTCATTTACCTCTTCAAAGTAACAACAGTAAAGTGGACAGTTTGCCTGGCCCATGTGGGCCATCTGTCTATCCACTGTGCTGTTAGCCAAACTTACAAAAATATAGTATGAAATTAATTTTGAAAGTATTCTTAAATATGTGTTCAGAATCTTATGTCTGTATGATTTTGATTTGTAACTAAATGTGGGTAAGGAAGAGTATGTAGCATAGTTCAGATATTGCTATTAAAAGACTATTCACAAACTGAAAGAGCCTTTAGAAATTAATGGTTATTGATAGCCATCTAAACAGCATTAAACTTCCCATCTCAAATATATCTACATAAAATACAGAGAAACAACACACATACACCGGGCCTATTATGGAACTCTGTTCTCAATGAACATGAACATCTAGCCACGAAGTTCAGTTTTTTAACTGAAATTTGAAGAATTTATGAAAGATAATTCTTCATTAAGAATCTGTGGTTACATGGATTAGTAGTGGTTCATGGCATGCGATGGTAATCTTATTAGTCATGGGTGTAAACTGCACAGTTTAGTGTTTCAGGGACTAATCATCAGATTATATAATTAATGGCACCGTAAATTATAGTTTACCAGTAGCTTTAAAACATCGTAACCTGAAAACTAGAAACTTTCTAATTATAGCAGAAGATAATGACTTCCACTACATGTTTTGTGTTTCTTGAATTTTACATTCTTGTCCAACAGTGGCTAGTCTGTAATGTTTATATGGTTATACACTGTGCCTTAAATTTTTATATTTTTATTTATGCAAACTAAAACATTTCCCATAAATGCATTAAATGGTTTTGTCTTATTTTCAAGCTTCCTTCAGTTTTTCTTACTTTCATCCCTTTTAATATTTACTGTTCTCTCTGGGTCATAGTTCATGATATTCTAGCCTCTTCTGATCTTTCTTATCTTACAAACTAAACATAGTGTAACTGAGACCCTTTACAGTGAGTTCAATTCTCTAATGACAATCCTTGACAAACGGAATTAACCCTGGTACTGGTTAATAAATCTAGACAAATTTTTTATACCGATTTTAATTAAAGTAAAATATTAACTTTTTTTTTTTTTACCATATCTAAACACTTCCCAGAAATGAATGGGAAAGCCTGTAATCTCTGATATACATAATACTTCAGTAGAATACTCAAGGTTAAATTACCACATAGTTTAAACTATCAGATATTCAATTTTTTTTTTTAAGATTTTATTCATTTATTTTCAGAGGGTAGGGGAGGGGAAAGAGAAGGATGGAAACATCAATGAGTGGTTGTCTCTCACACACCCCCCACTGGACACCCAGCCCAGAATGGGCCCTGCCTGGGATTTGAACCAGTGGCCCTTTGCTTTGCAGGCTGGCACCCAATCCACTGAGCCATACCAGCCAGGGACAGATATTCAAGTTCTTAATGACCAATGTCAGAAACATTCCCTGAAAACTTCCTTTATTCCTAAAGGTTACACAGATTTAAGTGGACCTCTTCTGCCTTCACCAGATCATACTTGCCTTATTTATTTGAGCTAAGTGGAATGAGAATTTACTGCTTCCTAATTTGATACTATTGTTCCCAAACTATTAATTCCAATAATGAGAACATTTGCTGTGTTCTATAGGCATGTGAAGTATTTTATTTAAACCATTTCTAAGGATTCGGATTCAAAGGTTTTACATACAGCATTTATCTTAATGAATATAGTCTAGTCTTTGAGAGATCATGTATCATCAAGGTCTGCAGAATTTTCATTGTCATTTGCAACAAGGGCTTCCCTGTTCTCATAAGTCCAGAAGCCATTCAGATCGATCAGAATGGTGGTGACTGTGTCTCCTTGATTACTGTTGATTAAGTCCTGAAGAGAGATTCTCAAAGGATCCTTTGGTTTTACCATGTCAAAGATTTCATCCTGCAACAGAAAAAAAATCACAGTGAAATCTGATATATGATTCACTTAATTTCTATCACACAGTGACCTAAAATTCAGCACTTAAGCTTATGTAAAATTTTTATTCCAGTTTTTTCTTTTCCATTCAACAGATAGGTAGTTTCCTTTATGTACAATCACAGAATTGTATGGAAGGTCCCTCACGTAGGTGATAACTATCCCTCACTGAGGAATAAACAGGCTCAGAGACTGAGCTAACACAAGCTACATAGCTAATAGCTAAACTGTCTAATGCATGTTAACTACTTTTCTTTTGTTGGTGGTAAAGCAAAGCCTTCATTTAATTTAAATGCAAACTCAGCTCAAAGTAAAAACTTAAATGCTTCAGAGCCAAGACTATGACAAAGATTATTTCTAATATTGATGTCAGCCTTTTACTCTGGACCTAGGATGGGGATGGGGGTTGGTATTAAAGAATTAGTCATCTGGAATGACATGAAATGGTGCTAAAACTTACTGAACAGATGGAAATACTTCTATGTTATGAAATGTACTGTATGAATATTTACAAAGAATTAGTACATGTTTTCTAAGCTTTTGTAGTAAAACTCAGTATTTAGTATCATTAAAGGAGGAAAATTGCATTTTTAAAAGATTAGAACAATTCAGGTAAATAAAATGTATGAACTTTTATATGTTTGTGAAACTTCCTTTTCTAGGTTGGTGGCCATTTAAACTAGTTCTTAAACTGCCTGTTATAGTTTAAAACTGATCTCATTTATATTAAACCAAATAGCTCTTTTTCTTATACTTGTTAAAATTCAATGAGATATTTTATTACATTACTCAACTTGAACCTGAATTGATGCTGGATACTCACTGCAGGGGAAAGTCTCAATACTGAAGTTCTAAGTAGCAACATGTGTTTCAATAGTGGTACTTTTCATATTGTAGGATTGATGTCTCTTTAAATAATACCAAAGCAAACAAACCCTTTGAAGTAGCAGAATAAACATGTGCCCGGACCTAAATAGTTTCCAAGTTAAAGACTCAGTTTATGTTGGAATGGTTTGCCAAAGGATGCAAGCCATATTGATTCCCTTAATTTTCAATAAAAATGAAGGCATGATTTCAATGAGAACACAAGAGTGAAAATGCTAAAATCAAACTACAAAAATCATTATAGTCAAAACGTGGCCTTAGTTTCTAGTGACTTAAATATCTTTGGAACAAATAACAGCAAATACTTGATTTGGTTCAGTACTTTATAGGTCATAAGTTGTTTTTATATAAAATTTCACTTAATACAAATGGTTATCTGGTGTTATATAAATTAAAGGATAAAGTAACCTTGACATCTTGAAATGAAACAGGATCTTGTCCATGGATTTTCATTAGTTCCTGTATGGCCTGCATTTAGCAGAAATAAATCTGTAAATAAAAAATAAAATACACAACAACCCCCACTCCTGTCCCGTGGCCTCTTTCTAGTTTCGCTTTCTACTAGACCACAGATCTCACTGTTTCAACCACTCCTGCCAATATTCTCAAACCCTTGACCTTGCTTATCACATCTACTCAGCAAAACCTAAACTCTGGATCAGTGTAACCATCAATCTTTCTAGACCCACACCTTATCTAGAGAGCTTCAGAAAGGAAGTAAGCAAGACTACAGCTTATTGCTACTACATAGGAATGTTCTCAAACCTTAGATGAGCCTTTAACGTGGTCTAGCGATTATTATGACCTTTTCCCATTACCCAGGAATGCTGTTCCTTCCTTCACCCTTCTTTTAACACTCCCCTCCTACCTTACTTTTACCATCTCCTAGGCTAGACAGAAAAAAAATGGAGGTAAATCTCCCTTGAACTCTTGTCTTTTACAAACTTCAACAAAAGAAATACTGAAGAAAGTACATTTGACCCTTGATTGCTGCAGGGCACTGACCCCCACACAGTCGAAAATCAGAATAGCTTTTCACTCCCTAAAATCTTAACTACTGAAAGCCTGCTGTTGACCAGAAGCCTTAACAATAACAAACAGTAGATTAACACATATTTTGTGTATGTACTAAATGTATGCCATATTCTTTAAGCTAGAGAAAAGAAAAATGTTAAGAAAGTCACAAGGAAGAGAAAATACATTTACAATACTGTATTGTATTGATCAGTACCATAAGTTTGTCATCTGTTCATAAGATGAATCTTACAAGTGTGTCAGTACCTACATTAGTATTGTCCCGCATGATACAAAACACTGTAGATGCTATACGTATTATTTACGTGAGATACCAGAAATAAAAAAATGTGAAAGAGAAACTCATACTTATTTTCAGGTATGGATAATTCATGTATGGAGAGTGAATTAGTAGCAATACAATTGCTTCATGGTAGCCTAAGTGTAATTGATGTGACTGCTTCATAGTAATGAAATCTCCAGAAACTTTTTCAATATATTTATTTTAAACATCTGCACATAACTGGATACACACAGTTCAAAAATGTGTTGTTCAAGGGTCACCCGTACTGTGTGTGATTCAGTTTGACAAGTAAATGTTTTGGGTGATAGTCATTCACTGGAAAATGTGAAGCTTAAAATTCTTGGTGCCCTGGCCAGGTGGCTCAATTGGTTGGAACACCCTGTACACCAAAAGGTTGTGGGTTCAGTCTCCAGTCAGGGCACATACCTAGGTTATGGGTTCGATCCTGGTTGGAATGTGTACAGGAGGCAACTAATTGATGTTTCTATCTCTCTCTCATCAATAAATATATTGTTGGGTAAAGATTAAAAAATAAAGTAAAAAAGAAATTCTTGATAAATAGTCAACTAAATACATCCCCAGTGCCTACTCTATGTGGCACCAGTGATACCAGAGTGTGCACAGGGAAACTGCAGTGGATGAGAATCAGCGTGAAGCAGACCCGGGTGGTACGATCCACAGCGCACCATCCAGGCCCAGCGTTATCACTGGCATACTGATGTACAAAGGCTCCAGGAACAGCCCAGGAGTGCAGGGCTCAGTACCTCTTTTCCTTAGCTCATACCACCAAGTGTAAATGTACTGAATACTTTCAATGTATTTAATGAAATTTAACATTCTAAAAGGAGAAGATAACTATAAAGAAATCTTTATGAAAAAGAAGAGTGTTTAATCACCAAAAGATATATTTACTGTTTCCCTAAAATGGAATTTTCATTTAACAGATGTGCCTAAAGTGGGGCCATCCCTATGATCAGTTGGTATTATCTTTTCAGATTAGCCACTGATTGAAACCTACTTGTTAAAAAATGCATCCTAATACTGAGATTGTCATTCATCCTAATATTTGCAGTCATCACTACTTAGAAGATCACGCTGGAAAGCCTTTTAGGAAATTTAACATGAAGTTATGAAAAAAATACTATGAAACTCAGAAATGAGATGAAATTATTTTAAAAGCACCAAAAAGGTTTTAAATGGGAAAGAAAATGTCTCTGTGGAAAAAATGATTTATGCCAAAGATGTGAAAATGTTATTTTTGTTTAAAAAAAAACTTGTTTTCCCTACTTTGATCTTAACTATATAGAAATCACATGGTCTTCTAAGAACTAGCTATAGAAATGTGATGATGGAGTAGAAAACTACTGTACAAAAATACTCCATCAAGTAGAAAAGTTACCACTCAAATTGAAGAATGATTTGTCTTAAAAGGCCAGATATTCCTTCTCTTATACCTGCTGAATCTGGATGCTTATAAAACACAATCAAATTGCATTTCAGAGCTCCTCATGTTCTCCGAAGCCAACTAAGGCAAAAAATCAAATCTGTTTCACACTGAAATGGAGCACACAATCCTAGCCAGTTTTTAAATTTTTTTTAATAGCACAGCAATGAAAACAATCTACAACTACCCAAGTCTACAAAACTCCTGTTTAACGAAAGCTTCTGTAGGATTTTACACATTAGTTTTTGGATCACTCAGCACAGAATTTCTCATGCATGTTTGTATCTCCATTGGCTAGTATAGCTCCTGACATATTTAACAGTTTTTAAGTATTTTACATCTAATTAAATCAGCACTGATTTAGCCCGTTTATATTTTTAAAAAAAACAACTAAAAACAGACTCGCTATCCTTCTAAAATCTGTTACGTAAACCCTTCTGTTAAGTTTAGACATCAAAAGTTAGATAAAATTGTCACTGAGTAGGTAATTTAAACCAAACAGTGTAACATATGTTAAGGAACAATGACTCATTTATACCAATGAAACTTACCCTAAAGAAGTAATTAAGGGAAAAGACATTCAGATATCCCTTGTTCTCAATATCAAGCAATTTGAAAATATACTGCAGAGCTGCAGGTTCTTTTCTGTTTTCTAATGCAAGAACAAAATCCAGGTAGGTCTTGTAGTCCTATAAAAAAGAAAGTGTTCTTCAGAGGCCATATTTGGAATTAGCTTTTCAAGTGAGTATCTAATAATTTGAAACTAATTTTGCAATTAAAGGTGACAATTTTTTAAAATATGCCAAATCCATTCATATACTTAATGTTGTTTTCTAGGAATTCTGTGTGGCAGTTAATCTATACAGGACAGTTTTTGGGACATAGGAGTCTTTGTGTTAAACCATAGTTTTCTTTTATCATGCTTTTAAAGTAGATAGGACAGTGACTAAGCTGTTGTACACTGCCAGGAAATTTGTATCATCATTTCAGTGTGGTCATTTTGGGGGAAAAAAATGACCTGGAATGAATAGGACAGAATATTTAAATAGCTTTTTTGATATACTGTTTAAAGTTTTAAATCTAGTCATAGATTACTATTTCTGTATAAGTGAAAAGAACTAAAATACTTGGGAGAGTCTCACTTAGAAGTTTATATTCTTGGAAAAGATTTTTTTAGGCAAATATAAAGAATTCCTTTTTGCATAAATTTCAGTATAAAGAGCTAGAGAGATGTAGTAGCCTCGTCATACTCCAACTCCAAGCGTAGTTGTAGCTTCTGATTTTCTTGATTCACCAGAAGTCATTATTAGTAAAGCTCCTCAGGGTCAACTGTGGACAGCTGTGGGAACCACAAACCAGTTTCTATGCTTTCTCCCCAACCCTGCCCTTTTCCTTTGCAGTTGGCTAACAATGGTGTTATCTAGAAAACTGCCATTAAAGCTAAGTGATAAAACCTAGAACCCCAGTTCTCTTCTGACATATGACCATTTTTTAAGCATTATTGGTTTGAAAAATTTATCACATCCTTAACATGTGCTTTTAATAGCAAGAATCGTAATTTTAAAATACCATTATAATTTTATTCTCCAGTATTTTGCAACAGGTACATGTCAGTCAATCTTTTTAGCTACTATATAGCCACTTATGGAGAGTAACACAACCTGACTCTTAGACTGAAACTGCAGCATATACGGCCCTGGCCGGTGGCTCAGTTGAAGCATCATCCCATACACCAAAAGGCTGTGGGTTGGATTCCCGGTCAGGGCACAAATTTAGGTTGCAGATTCGATCACAGTTGGGATGTGGCAAGCAACCGATTGGTTTCTCTCTCACATCTATGTATTTCTCTCTCTCCCTGCACCACTCCACCCCCGT